TTGTTTTGTTCAGGCAAAATGGCAAAAATACGGTTTATAACGAGCTAAGCTTTTCATTTTCCAGTCATTTTCAGGAATGTTGAAGAAAAAAAAAACGAGATGGCAAAAAAAATCCCATACACTTTACATAACTTCCACTTACGAGTGATAAGATAGCTCCATTTCCTTTGATATCATAAGCGATATGACAAGACTTCACATTTTTGAATTAAATGAAGCGACGGCTGCCAGAACCTATAGCTATATACATTATATCATTCGGCAAATAAATATGAAAAAAATTCAGGTAATTTGATCGGTTTTTTAGTAGACCTCACATTATTTCAGGAAAATGGCCTCCACTGAAAAATTATACTAAAAAAATTTCAGAGAAGTCGTCAATTGCATTGACGTCCATCCCCAGCAGTCGTTTTACGTATGACGGTGTCTTAGGTGGAATTTTTACGTAGCTATGCGGTGTTTCATTAACAAAATGGCAGTTATACCATATTTGGTAGTTATTGAATGAAGCTGAACAGGATGTGAAGAAAATGCAAATCGAGGAGGATGTTGTCCTCTAAGGCTGAAGGCCTGCAGCAAATTTTGATATTATTTTAAACCGTGAACCCTATTACTATTAATACAAATTTGAAACCTATTAATAATAAATTTCATAATAACGATTTATCTACATGTTAGATTTACATCAGTCATACTAACTAATTTAAAAAGTAACTACTCACATAACGTTGCTAAAGAAAACTACCTACTTACATAATGTAAGTAAAGCTGCGTAGGTTAAACGAGCATGTCCTCTTCAGAAAGAGAATTAAAGAGATCTAAAAGGAAGTCTAATGGATTTGCCTCTTTTACTGATCCCAGTAAGCCGAAGCCGAAGTGAGGGTCTCTCAGCGGTTTGAGGGAACAACAGAATATGGCAAGTTTATGCTTATTTATTTATACGCTTTCACTATGATTAAAATGCTAAAATAAGACAAGGAAAAAAATATATTCTAACAAGTCACAAGAAAGAGAGACGAAGGTGCGGGACACACAACAGAGCGAGACCCCAAATTAAGTGTGCCTTAAGAAAAATACACAAATACTAACTATGTAAGCATTAAAACATTATAAGAAGTATAAAAATCCTATTTCCAAAAACAATAAGAACGAATCACTGCTACAGCCGATAAAAAGTCTTAGTAGCAATAGTTGCCAGCCGTAAAATTAAGTCTCTCACTTCATGCCAATATGTTAACGGTAGCAGATTGAGGCGAGAAAGGCGCTCATGATAAGAAATATTCTTTACCAGTGCGTGTTTAAGATGAATTTTGTTGCCCTACCATGATGACTCTCTATTTTTGTTGTACTACATATCGTACTAGGAGCCCATAACTCGCTAGCATAGCCAATATATGATCTTACAAACGTGAGATATAGTAATTTCCTAGGGTCTGTAGTGAATGACATAACACTATTGTGGCGCAAAAATGCGAGCATCCTATTGGCCTTAGCTAAGGAAGTGTTCATGTGAGTGTCCCATTTGAGGTCCGGCGAGATAGTCACTCCGAGGTCTTTTACTTGAGTGATGTGTTTAAGAGAGTTGTTGTTCAACTTGTAATCGTAGCGAAATGGATAGCGCTTGCGTGTAGTACCTCATCACATTTAGAGGTGTTAAACTTTAGGTGGGGGAAACAGCTGGGGCACAGTGGAACTAAGGCAAAATATTTTGAGGGACACTCAGGGGAGCATAAAACAGTTTTTGGCATCAAGGGAACGGTACAATGCAAAGATAATGACAAGGAAAAGAACAATTTAACACCTTAAAGGTATTTGTTGTGCGTCACGTCTCTCCGTCTCTATGTCGTTTAAACGACTCGTTTTCGTTGCCCGTTATCTTTTTCTTTCTGTCTCCTCACGTATGGGTAGGTTTCGCTTGCGGAGACTAGGTGCTAAGCAAATAAAAAATCGTCCTTTTCTAAGCGGTCGGTTAAGAGAGTGGCTGTAAGAGGGGCTTCGACTCTAAAGGCTAAACTTAAATTTGAGGATCATTTCATGTTTCGACTTTTTCCCTAATTTTACAAGAACCTGGGAGTACTTGTCCTTCCAACAGAGGATCATGCATACTCTGAACTCTGCAGTTTATTCAAGGGGCCAACAATTTTATTTTTGAGTAAAGAGTTGTATGGGTGATTTAATAAAAGCATGATTTTTTTTTTACCCCTTAATTCACTGTATGAATTTTCTTTTTAGAGTTTGTGCTTGCATGATATTTTTTTCTTCCCCCAACACTTTTTTCGTGTGTATATGTGCATGGGGTTGAAAAAATAGGATTTCCCTTCTAAATCACACCATAAAGGATCTGTGAAATAATCTTTGAGCAAGCATATAAATTTTTATCGTAGAATTTGTTACTGGCTTTAGAAATAAAGTTCATGTATAAAAGCAAAGAGATGGGGAACCCCTTCGCAGTATTGAAAGAAGCCCGGCCTATCAAATACAGATAGATATGAAATACAGTAGGTCGTGTTCCAATAGCTTTTTTTTCTGGCATCCTTTATTTAAAGTGCAGGTAAAATATTAATGTTCAATTCACAACACCAGCCGTGATTTTGATCTGACAAAAAAAATTCGACCACGAGATCGGAGACCCCTTAGCATAATTTTGGATTGGTTGGGCTAGCTCACGCATAGCATGAGCTCAACGAACGACAAAGGCGTGAGTTTATCTGCAGGGGTTGGGGGAATGTTCCCCGGAAATTTCGAAATTTAGGGGTTCTGAAATCATCGTTTTTTTTTTCAGCCCACTGTACATAGACGGACGGTGAACTTGTGTAGGAATTAAGTCACATTCACTTGCAGGATATTTTTTCTCAACCCCCCCCCCCCCCCCCCCAGTAAATTGGTTGCCCCCCACTATTGTTTTTTTTTTTTTTCTTTAACACCCAACGCAAAATAGGGGGTTGGTTTTATTTTTTTATTTTTTTATTAAAATTTCCCTTAATAAACTTTTTTTTCACCAAAAACACATAAAAAGAAACACTTCACAACGCAGGGCGCATCACAATAACTATTTTAAAAAAAAAAAACAGAGAAATCA